AGCTACCATCATGCATCACAYACGGTGTCTGGGTCAGGGTGGTTTCCATGCCTCTTGTACACAAATTGATAAAAGAAACGCCCTCTAACCTATCTGAGTAACAGCAAGAAAAAATCACTTTTTTAATGGTTTCATCTGGGACATTTTGAAGTTTCTTGATAATGCACAGAATTATTACGGACTGACCACCAAGAATATAAGGACTTAGGTTGAAAACCCAGATGAAYATGACTGTGATTAATACAACAAAACTTAATCTGCTCACGACAAGGAGCCCAGGGCTGAACTCAGATGCAGAAAGTCAGTATGTAGGAGCTGAAAGCAGCTGCAGGCTACCAAGGAGACATTTAGAAATCATCATATATACAAGTAGGTGTGATGTTAGGAAAGTCAAACCTCACCTACAATTAGTAGCTGGGAGGGACACCAAGTCCAGCAAGAAGAGCTTCCATCACTACACTGGCAGTGGAATCTCTCTGTGGACAAACCAGAGAGCTGAACACGTCATTTACCTCAAATTCAGCAAGGCTTTCCACACTGTCTCCCTCAAGAATCTCATAACTAAATGCAGACCTTACAGTCTGGATAGGCAGGCAGCTAAGTGGGTTTAAAAAAACCAAAAAAATCCCATGATGAGGCTCAGAGGGCAGAGGATAATGGATCCCCCTCCCTATTGGTGACCACTGACSCAGTGACATCAGCCATTGTATATCTATTGCTGTGGACACATGCCTACCACTCAATATTCAAAAACATTCCTGCTGTTTTATAAACATGCCATGAAGCCTGGCAAGGAGAGGATTAGAAACATGCATCTGGAATTTATCACCTCATTAAAAGTTGCGGTATGATGGTAGCTAACAACGGAAGGAAAAATTAACAGAAAATACCTATGGGATTGATCAGTCATACCAGGAAATATACTTCACCCTGCGAGTGAGGGAGACATTCACAATCATTCCAATCAAACTACTACTCATCACCAAAACATAAGGCAGCCTTCCTTCTCCCGTTCATGCCAAATTTAGAAGTGGAAAAAAACCTGGAGTATCTTTAAGTGCTGCTGGCATCTGMGTACAGGGAAGGTGGTTTTGCAATCTAATGCATTCTGTATGTCAATATTCACATTATTGCCATGGAAGAGAAGTACCTTGACTGTTTCTTCTGTGAACCATAAGCACATCTAGGATATGGCTGAGCTGGCTTACTTAAGTGAGAGTGGGATAAGGATCCTTGTAGAGCACCAGTTGAGTCTCTTGAGACAGTTTTAATTCTGAATCACTTTCCATGCATCCACACAAGGAGATGTATGAWCTAATTCTTTAAGCAAAGTCAGGAAAAACTTGTCCCCCTGCATTTCCAGAGGATAAGAATTAGACTCCAATGGCTAATTCCTTTCTCTGCTTTGTATGTGCTTATTTATTTTTCTAGGTCATGTAAATAAACATTTTGCTGAAGTAGGAGAAAAGTATCRAACTGACAACAGTATCTGGTGACTCAAGCAACAAGGACATGGAGAAACAGTTAATTGGGTTAGGAAAATAAGAGCAGTCTTGGAAGTTCTCTGTATTAATGACAGGAGACCAGCATATGTCTCTCAAATTCTTAGTAAGCTTTCCATATTCACTTCTGGTCTGAAATAAGCTGTATCTTATTTATACAGGAGTGGGAGAAAAATTTGGAAAATTATCAGTTCCTTCATCTTGCCTTAAGAAATGGAATTGCATTTGGAAGAAACACATTTCAATTAAACTTACTGATGATATATACTGAAGGATAGAATAATTATGTCTATTGGAAAAAATATTACAGAAAATACTAATACCATTCAATATTTGGCCAGAGAGATGTATCACTAGTTCTGGAAYAGAGAGCGCCAACCTTTGTCCTAGCTGTTAACACAGAAAGCATAACARACAAGGTTTAAGTAAGTTTGGAACAACATCTCCAACAGATTTTTCTTTTTAAAATTATTATACTGGAAGACAGATTGAATTAAAAACCAAAAAAAAACCTTAAGCTCCAAAAGAATAACAGTCATATAAGTGCAAGTTTTACCCACCCAAATCTAGCTGAATTTYAGAACACTTCTTTTGGCACACTGTTCCTCTGGCTTAGCAGACACATTCTTATCTGTCTTTGGATGGATGAAGTAGAGCCTTTACAGGAAAGATAAATTCAGCTATCTTGCCTTCAAACTTCTGATAAAAAGCAAACTGCCACTTTATGTGACAGTCCACCAGATTTCTATTACTCTGGGTAATTTAAAGAGAGGCAGGTGCCCTCTAGGAGGATGTGCCTACCCTGAAGTGATAAGGCATGTCATGTGCCAGTTCAGGAATACCACAGTCCCAGCATGCCACACTATATTTGTGAAYAGACACAGGACTTGGCATTTATCAGCTGACATGCCAACCTTTTAATTATAATACCAACTGTCTTCACGAAAGTTGTGACATTGTGCCAGTATGGGACTGAAATCCACAGAGAAATCATTTAAAAGGATTGCATTGCTGAGTTTCGTAACTCTCCAAAGATAGTCGTGAGACCMAAGGAGAGACTGCATATTCCAAATGGGTAGAAAAAAGTTCTTTCAGAAAACCAGTGATAGAAAGGAATGGAATCTACTGCAGACGCCTTTAAATATAAATCTAAATATATCTGCTTCATATAGACTGTTGCTACAGAAATTGTAAGATAAAATAAATGTCTTTTCACTACAGCACATCTCAGATCTAGATTTGTACAGCGGAGGCACCCTCAGGACAAAGTTATATATTACACCTTCAGATGATTTAACATGTAACCATATGCTGATGGAGACAATGATATTCATGCCTCCTCCCCCACAATATGCAGAATACTCCCTTCCTCCCCTTTCACCAGTGTTTGCCAAAAACTATACCAAGCTGATTCAACACTAACACAAATGTGCTAAAATGAACAACATCAGTGGGATTAGCAAATTGAATTAACTCAGTGATGGGTCAAACAAATGCTGAAGCAATGGGACTTCACCCTAAGATACTGAGATTGGAGTTGTGCCTCTCCTCCACCATTCAGGTGTGAAAAGACAGTGCAGGAAGGAAGCAGCTGGGGACCCTTGACAACAGGAACTGCGGAAGTAACAAAGTAGGAAAGCCCAGGCACCACAAACATGCACAACCTTCCTATTGCTTTGATGCATGTCTCCTCTAACCCTACTGGGCTCCTCAAATACCCTTTCCCCCCTCATTTCCATATTCCTTCACTTATCACACATTATCTCTCCTCTGACCTTCACTGTCCCCAAATCATTATCATCTATCCTTCGTGCTTCCTCTTGCCCACTTAAACTCACAATCACAACAACAACACTAGCATTAACGTGACACTCATCACCATCAGGACAATCGCTGAGCACACACATCCCACCCCTTTCCCCTTCCTTCTTCCATTTACTGGTACTATTCAGAAGATTGGCAACAACAACACTTCTATGCAATAACTTGGATAACACRGTGCTGCAGTAACTACCACAAACACACACGATGACAAGTGGCAGTCTTCCAATTGGCCTGACAGTGTCCATATACAACAGGATTTTTTTTTTTGTACCCCTTGCTTTTTCAGGATGCTTTTGCATACTCTGTATGTACACAAAAGGTCTGAACCAATACYYAACATCCAAGTACCCACCTCTTGTATTGCCAAGGGAGACAAATGCTATCTGTTAAAGCATGTGGGCAGAAACGTAAGCCAAACTCCAAGGTGATGATGAATAACACATTCCTGAATGTCAAGGTACAATGGGATTTTCATAATTTCCAAACACACCAGCTTCTTTTCCACATTACAGAAAAGCAAAATAAAATGTAGGTGGAACCAAGGTTCTGTTGTTTTTAGCATGCAAAGAAAATGAACCCATTCACATTCCCCCATTTGTTCTGACCAACCATTTGTGAGTAATTCTCAACATTTCAGTCACCTGAAAAAAACAGACAGTGAGTTTTAGGCACAAACACTTCCTAATATCCAGGATCACAGATGATTAAATCATAGTGTTTCATTCTTTCTGTGGGCTTTGTTTCGCAACTGGCTTCCTGGCTGCTTTTTGTCTCAAGCATTTTTCTCCTGCTTCTGGCAGATGAAGTGGAGGTGGAAGAGAAYAGGGAGGGAAGTTCTTGGGTAGCATAAGAATTACAGTAATTTCCCATCTTTCATCCTTCCTTTCCAATCTTCAGAAAGAGCTTGCTCAGGGAACAGAAAGCCTAATGCTCTTCAACCCTGCTTTATTTTTATTTGTTTTAACTTATATTTACAGTTGGTTGCAATTACAAAGTTATACAACCCAGGTACAATGTTTACTATATTTATCTCCTTCCTGCCCTGAAATCCACGTGCAATSTACCTCCCACCTACACATTTCCTCCACTTTTTTGTCGTTGCTGTGGGCAATATGAAAGAAAAAATTGCAGTTAGAGAGCTCTTCAATCAAACACCTACAGGTCATTCATTTGGTTCATACCCATGCCAGATGTGAATGTAAATGTCACTCATCAAAAGGAAAGTTATGCCATGGATAACAAATCAGCTCAACTCTCTAAATTAAACAACAGTATAAGCACAGGTACAAAGTTACTTTCAAAGCATTCTTAGTATTCTGTCTGATTACCTGTCCTTACTCAAAACAAAGGGAGAACTGTCTTCACAGTGCTCTACTTATGTTTCCTTTCAGCATTCTGAAATAAGAGCTATTCAASTGCTTGAGTTTTGTTTTCAGTTGGAAAGGTCACCTGGGATGTGTGACAAAATGAATCYGTACACCTTTTTTAATAAGGGGAAAGGAAAAGAGATGGGTCACAGGGAAGGAGGCATTTGAAAGTTTACTGCATCTTCGTTTTTTAAATTTGAAAACGTCTCAGATAAGTTATAAAAAAAGTGTAATTAGTGAAAGAGAACAGTCTAAGAACCTACAGAATCTAATTCTCTTTTGAAAAAGAAAAGCCATGACTACTCACATATAATATGTAGGATATAATCCTTCAAAGTACCAGCAATGCTTTTTGGCCTCTGTACACTGCAAAGAAAGAAAAATATGGTATTAATATTTACACAGGATAACGTACAGTTATAAACACAAGCTTAGTATATTTATAAATACTGTGACTCTGAGCAGTTAGGAAAGGTTATATTTCCAAAGATTTTACAACCCAGATACACACATCAAGCGGGAAGTCAGTTTATGTAAATGGCAACATGTCCTGCCAGGATTCAGATCCCTCACGCAGGGCTTTGTCTGGGGGGGCCCCACCAGCTTCCCACAGTTYCCGAATAAAGTCAGTACATTTGGAGCAGACCCAGAATCCAGCTGCATGTGTTCCTTGGCAGAACTGCTGCCTTAAAAGACCACAGAAAACTTAAAAGCCTGTGCATGATTGTAGTCCCTTACGAGACCTCCAAGGCACAAGCAATTTAATGAYACTATGCATATGACTACACAGTAAACTCAACAGTTATAGGGAATTATTCATCTTTCAGGAAGTGGGTGACATGAGGAACCAGRATTAGGAAGGAGCAGAATGGAGAAACATCCATCCCACCTCCTCTTCCTACAGCTTGGAAAAGTCTCAAGTGTTCATGAAGTAGGGGGTAAAGGAAACTGCTTTCTGCAGCCCAGGGGTATTTTTCTCTTTTGCAGATTGCCAGCATATCCCTGTTAAAGGATGGCAACAGGCATTTTCTCAGAATGTGTGTGCCGGCGACATGGGAAACGCTCATCGTTACAGGCACTGCCAGAGCACAGGCGGCARCTCAGAACAATAGCAGCCCCTAAAAAAGCAAACCAAGATGTCAAGACCAAACTCTACACAACACACAAAATATTTCTGTGTATCCCACTGACATCACTAGCACAAAATGCCATCTTCACTGCACACACAGCTCCAGGAGCTCCYCTGCAGGCTGCATTATCCCATAAAACACAGGCAGGGCGTTGTGGGACGTCCACTGCAGAACAGTGAGGAATATCTGGGGTTTTAGTAACAATTCCCTCAGCTGTTCACACCTGATACCTGATGCTGGAGAGCCCTTGGCACACTGCCAGTGTTTGGATCATTCTTCACGTTCACAGCTCACCTTTAAATAATAGCTCGTATAAGTTTATTAGCCRTCCCGAATCCCAGAATACTAAATGAATCCAGTTAAGACAAAGTGGGTTTAGATGCTTGACTCTCATTCTTCATGAATAAAAAAGGTTGCAAGCTCTCTAATGAGCATCTGATGAGCTAAATCACAGACAGATCAATTACAGCCCRTGAAGACAAACTGCTATGGATTAAATTGTTAAGAGTGGTACAGGAGATTGGGGGAGGAGGAGAAGATGCTTTTGATGCATTTGATCAGGCCTTTTKCCAGTAACACAACAGGCTCACACTAGCCTTCAAGATGCATAAGCTTTAGCTTATGCTGAAAGGACAGTTCTCTTTCCCTGGGATAAACACAGCAGAAACCTTGTTCCCCTCTCAATTTGATGCCACGGTCCAGGCAGTATATTCAGCAGGACTCCTTAGCTTCTGCTGAACCAAGAGGTGTTCAAAGATTCATCTCCGTATTCACCCTCTTTCCCTCTTTCGCCCCACTCTTTCAAAGCTTCCAACTTTTTAACCTTTCCTTCCAAATATTTTCACCTGCTGGCTATTTCCTCTTACTCTAAAATTAGAAATATGTCAAGTTTCTCTCCATAACACCACGCTAACCTACATGCATCAAGAAACCCAGCAGGCATGCTGCCGAGTCACTGAAAAATATTTTGGTTCTTCACCTCTGAAGGCTGTAAATCAGCAGACGCCGGCTAAAATCCCACTGCCTGCAGGTCAACCCCTTGGGAAGCCTCATTTCAGAATACAGCTTGGGGTGTGCATTGCCATTAAATGTTTTTCCTTCCTGCTTCTCAGCCAATATGAGTCACCATTTACCTCAACAGCCTCGAAGCCTTTTGTCAGTCTCAAGCATTTTAATTGATGTTTTCCCAGAAATGTTTCTGAGCATGTGGAGCCTGCACACCYTTTACAAGTGTAAAGCAGACATTTATATTCAGCACTGCCCTCCCCAATATTTTAATCTGCTTTACAAATTCTAAAATTATTTTAGAAGACTCCTCCTTCCAGCATCTCCCTAATGGYAGGATTTCTGTTTCTGCCTCTAAATAATTCTCTTTTTCAGACAGCCAATATGCTTACTGCTGTCACAAAAAAGGCTCCAGCCTGGGAAAGTTCCTTCCAGCTTACAGGGCTTAGATACCTGTACTAGACACCCTTTGGCATCCAAGTTTACTTTTAAATTGGCCCTGGAAGAGCAGGCACCAATCCCAGTTTTGCCTTATTTTAATATCACAGTGCTATAAATACTGCATGGCAGTTGTTCAGCTTTCCTACACGGGAATCAGGAAAAAAAAAGCAAGTGGACCTCAAAATGTGAGCAGCAGAGCCAAATCTGATCCACATGACATGTCAGACGGATTTACACGCACAAGGGCAAAGCACTGAGCTCCCTGCTCAGTTAAACTCCCACCAATCTCCATGGCAACTTTACTCCAGTAAAGCCTGACATAAAGCAGGCTGCTACTAACCACCCTCCCTTCTGCTGGTTAGCAGACTTCACAGMAACTCRCTGCTGAAAGTCAAGAATATCACTYCTTGAAGGATTTGAGTGTCTTTAGCACTCAGGCACCAGAGAGATGAACCGGGGGTCAGGATACAGATTAGCTTTTCCCATCCCACATGCATCCTCTGAAGAAGGCTATGATAATCTACCTCTTGCCCAGACCCAAATTTTCTTCTGAATGGTACTGGCCCCATTGCTAAGCTGGTGGAGAGCCATTCAAGAGTAAGAGGAGACAAATGCTATCAGCATCAGGCTCTCAGCCTTTGGAGAGCAATGTCCTTGTAGCTGCTTGAGACTATTAAACAAAYCCTCAAGAAACCACAGCTGGCAGGAACTCGCTGCAGCCCACAAACCAGATGCAAAGGGAAGATCAGTTATATTGCTGCAATACAATAGGGCCTCAAACACCGGGACGGGTGCTCACCCTGCCAGCTCCCATATGAAGACAGGCTGTATCTCAGACTTTCTAACAAGCATTCATTCATKTATTTAAAAAGTCATTTACCCATTCACTAAGAGCCAAAAAAGTGTGTGTACAGTTTTTTTAACTTAAGATTTTGTACAGCCCTCCTGATACTTCGAACTTTTCTAGGGAAAGGACTCTGCACATTTCTCTTATAAAATTCTCCCTTCTATGCCCTTTAAGCATTTGGCACAGCTATAAAATATAAATATGAGAGTAYATTCATTTTTAAAATAAATTGTGCAGGTCTAATTGGGTGTGCATATGTAATCTTTAGAGAATTAATGGTATGTGAATTAGCCAGATGCTTGAATACATTCCTTAAGTTTGCAAAGAAAAGAAGAGAAAGAGAAAATCATGAGACTTGGTTTTTCATTTGTTCGATTTTAAATAAATCAGTCCTACAGCGTGTTTTCTTTGCAAGACTGTAGCAATGCAAATTGCAAGCCATCCTTTTCTGTCAATCATTTCAGATTTCCTTTAAGAAAGGAAACCTGCTTCCTGCCCCAGATTGATATTGCAAACGTTACCACTGCTAATAAGAACAATGAGAAATAGGAGCTACCAATACATTAGTCAAAGACTGGTTTTGATCACACCATAAAATACAGAACACAAATGCACRTGCAGGCACATGGTGTGGGGGACTCTAGAGCAGGCACCCTGCCCACTGGATATCAGGTGGTACTCCACAGATATGCTTTCAGCATTTGCAGAAATACTATCTCTAGCAGGAATATTCTCCACACTGCACATCATTATCTCTCAGTCCACAGGACAACAAAAAGAAAATAGATCTGATCAATTAATTACTCTTTGTAATTAAGGGATTCATACTCAGTGCCTTCAACAGAGGTTTGSAAATCAGTAACAAAAAAGTAAAAGCAAATAAAGCCCTGTATGCATATTCCAGTATGAGTACAGTCCATTTTTGTTATGAGTACCAATGAAGAAAGCAGCCTGCTGTGGATAACTGTGTCTGTGGGGGGCAGATGGAGGGAAATTGCTATCTGCATGTTGAAGGGACATCCAGAGTGAGTTTGTGACATCTGCTCAAAGCCAGATTCTGTAGGAGGCATGGGGCTACCATCAGTTACAAGGCCAATGAAACCCTATCACTTGCCAGAAACTGAGGGTGAGGTTATCTCCTTTCTAACATGTATTACAGTTAATAAGGATCCAAGGCAGATTCAGAAGGAAAAAAAAAAAAACAGGTATTTAATCAGCCATACTTATATGATGGAAATGGCTCCTGGTATTCTGGCATGACTTGCTTAGTCTCTAACTTTCCACTTAGCKGGATATATGCCATACMTTAGTAGGATRYAAAATGATCCAAAATGCCAGTTTTRCAGCTATAGGTCTGAGGCTCTGCTTGGATAAACACAAAGATGAACAGGAAGAAAAGAAGTATCGAAGACATGAAAYAAGATTTTTTTGTTTCTGAGCATCACACAATCTTATTCCAACAGAGAGCTAGAACTCTTTCMTACTGATGGATCAAACTAGTAACTGAGAAAATGGGAAGGACAACATCTTTCTCAGATCTTTCCTGGTTTTACTGGCCACTGCACCTGCCACATACTTGATGAAGCCCAGACAAAATGAAGACAAAGTCTACATTGCAATTCCAGACTAAATAAGAAGTTCCAGAAGGCACACTATTGGCTACGAATCACAATGTTTTATGGGATCTGACCTTTAAATTGCATCAGTTTTCAGAACACTATCCCTTTCAGTGCCTAGACAAGAGCTGGAAGCATTATGAGAAACAAGCTGGGCAGTATAAGAAGGACTTCTGTATGCTCAAAGTTTGAAAGACTGGATTTGAAGACAGAAGAATATGAGCATCCTGTTCTTCCATAGCCAAGAAAAGGGCAAAATATCCATTAAAGTATGAGACAACAGTGCAGTCTAAGGGTGAAAACAATTTTTATAGAGAAAACACATTT